ATAAAAAATTGAATTAACGAAATTACATAAAAAATGAGAACTTTTATATTTTTTAATTTTAATGATACCTTCAATTTTATATTTTATTATGAAAAACATTGTTATTTGCACAAAACCACATAAATCCGTATTATAACATCAACATAGACCAAAAAAATAAAACGAAACAATGAAATCGAGATATATTTCGCTGTATTGCGTGAGTACCCTTCTAGCTTAGAAAAATATGGCAGTGGCTATTGTTCTGAAATTTAAACTTTTTATAAATCACATAAAAGATTCCTAAATTTTATCAAATTATATTTTAGCCATTTTTTTAGAATATTTATGACATTATAGTCATTGTTGGGTTTTAGAAACTGTAAAATTATATTTTGGCAAATGCAGATGTTGTTTTTATCGCATAAAATATATTTTGGTTGTGTTTTTATTGATATGCATGTTTATAACCTAAATTTGGTGAACTTGTGTAACTTTACAATTTTGCTAAATTAAACGAGAACCATAAAAAATTATAAATTCATGAGAATCGATTTAAAAATATTTTTTATATGAGTTTTTCTATCAAATGCTATAATTTAAGATATTATGCTTCATACATACATATATATATATATATGTATATATATATGTGTATGTATGTATATATATCTATATAGGGGTGGGTTCAAATAAAAAACACTCAATTTGTAAAAACCGTGAAAACCTCATTCAACCAATCATAATTTTTTATTTTATTCATTTTTTTTGTAATTATGAGAGGTTGATTAACCATTTTTATTATGGAGGGTGTTAATCATAGATATTATCATCTTCATTGTTTTAATTTTAGAGAAATACATGAAACAGTTTCATTAAGTAGTATATGAAACAATTTCATAACCACATATGAAACAACTTCATCAAAAAAAGTATTATACGAAACAATTTCACAAGATTAACAATTTTATGAAAAAATTTCATAAGATTAACGATGAATAAGAGTAGTTTTTACGGTTTTTACAAATTGGAGTGGTTTTCATTTGATCGCTCATATATATATATATATATATATATATATAGAGAGAGAGAGAGAGAGAGAGAGAGGGAGATATTTGTGATCATGTGAGATCATGTTGTTTGTGTGATGTCCGTGAGACCACTTTTTTAATTTGAAACTTTACAACAAAACACTGTAAAAGTAACATTCATAGTGTTTTTAATGGAAATGTTTTGATTTTTTTTTTAACCTTCACAATGAATTGTTGTGAAATTTCAGGTGTAAAAAATTGGTCTCACGAGTCTCGCAAACACAAGTTGGTCTTACGTGAACTCAATTATATCAATAATATGATAGTTTTATATGTATTAGTTGCAGCATGTGAATTTCTTTTACATGTATATTTTGTTTCATTTGGGTGAACAAAAAAAGTTCCACATATAATTTTTTCATACAATGAACACAAAAATATGTGAAACAATACCTTAAACTATAACTCTCGATGGAAAGAAAATCATGTAACAAATATTTCTACCTCGGTTCTCATGGTCTTTTAACTTTTTCATGGTTCCCATTTGATTATTGTATTTATTATTAATGTGTATTATAAGATATGACAATACGATTTTTAAGTATTAGTTAAAATTTGATTTCAGATATACCGATTTTAGTTATTGAAATTTAGTTGTAATAAAAATAGTTAGAAATCTATAATAACAGTATTATAATTATGTTAAGATGCTTAAAATATATTATTGTTGTGTATAGATTGACGTATAGTGATCGACTTAACTAACGGGCTGATTTGTTTTCATTTATATGTTTTGAAAAATTTGCATGGAAAACGTGATACCTTGACATCAAAGTAATAGATAACAATGACACTATAAATATATGAGTCGTAGTTAAGACATGTATAACTAATGTGTTCATTTATTTACTATAACGGTGCAAATACCTATAAGTATCGCTATATGTGAATAAAGCGATCCATGTAACATGACGATTAATGGACGGTATGTATAATACGTGTTCAAACCGCATGCAAAAAAGATGGAAGAATGATGCATGTTTATGTGTTTGCAACAGTTTTCGTGATTAAATATGCATGCATACGAGCAAGCATGTTTTATTAAACAATTGCTATGCAAAAGATATGTATTACCATAATTCGATATGTTGGTTCAAAATTTAGAGATATAAGTCCAAACGATTGAGATAGCGGGTACAGATGTGGGTATCCTTGCAAAATAAATGAGAGTTATGTGGTTCGATTCACACAGTACTCACCTGTCAACAGAAAACAACATTTACATCCCTCGTGATAATAATGAGACTGGTACAATGAAAGCGCTTCAAACGGCGGAATCGTATATACGTGTTTCCTAATAAGAAAAGTGGAGTCCTCAAAAGAAAAACAAATATTAAATAATTGATTGGGCCTAAAATACACAAATATAGTCTTCATATATCATACGAAAGTGACTATATCATACGTTCTTGTTGCACGATAAAATCATTACATGTTTAAGTGCTTGTTTGTATATTTATTCTATTCTTCTTTTTAGACATGTTTAAAATAAGACGGTCAAACGTGAACAATAAATACGTAACAATTTATCCATTTTTGTCATTGCTCAATAATTGAATAAAAAAACATAATATTTTAACCGATTAAGCTCACCACACATATTTTTGCATCCGAAAGTTTCCATAGGTTTTCGAAGTGTAAATGAAATACAACAGGGATGAATCATGTTTAATTAGGGTGCATTTGGTATGCGGACAACATGGGACATGATGAGACAAAAAAAAGTCTCATGTTTGGCATGCCATGGACAAGTAAAACATAGGACAAGGTGAGATTATTTTTAATTTTCATGGGACAAATCTTGACCTTTTTTGTTCTACCAAAAAAGGTAGAACAACATGAGGACTGAATTTAAGATTACAATAATACCCTTGCTATTTCATTATACGATGAAATAACATTGAACAACATTTAGGGGTAATATGATCATTTTAACAGTTTTATCATGTCATGTCCTAGTCGTTCCAAACATAAGACAACCAATTAGTCCTGTTCTGTCCCGTCACTTCCCGTCCCATCTAGTCTGCATACAAAAAACTACCTTAAAGATGACAAAAACTAGTACAAGGTGGGCCAAGTTGAGCCCAAATTGGTCTCGGTCCAAAATGAAGACTGATCACAGGCTCGAAGGTTTTGTCAGGGACTCGATCTCGGTCCGATTTAAAATAAACTGTATATGTTTTTATGAAAAATCTTACATAAGTTTTTATGATTACAATTCTTAAAGTATTGCAAACGTGTATTATAAATTGTAAAAACTTGAAAAATCAGTAACATAACTGGTCACGGTCCTGTAACTGGTCCCGGCCCATCATGGGTTTTGGGTCGGGTCGGACCGAGTTTGACCATCTGTACATCAAAATTTGAAAGAGGCCCAAAAGTTGGTTTTGAAATTGAAACCGAAAGCCCAAGTTGTGACCTCCGAAGCACACCACCATCTTTTGAAGATGGGATGGGGATATATGAAGCCCCTCGCATTTCAGAAAATTACTTTATATAAATGGTGTCACGTATATTAGATTATCATCACTCGCACAATACAAAAATTTCTTCACCTCTTTTCTGTTTCTACCGCTTGTTTCCTCTTCTCAACCTGGTTTGTTTTTGCTAACACAAGTAATCATTGTTTCGAAACATCGATCCAAAGGTGATTCAACTTGTTCCATTTTGTTGGGTGCTTAGATCTGCCCCAATTTTTTCCCTGAGGGTTACTTCACAGGTTAGCCTTTTTTTTCTTCTTCTGCCATTCATGATTTATCAAGCAGATTTAGTCCTTATGTTTGCAATTTGTTTCTGATTTACGTTTATTCTTAAAGAAAACTTGTTATGTGGTTATTCTTTGTAGGGATGAAACGATTGCGAGATGATGCTTACGGTAGCTCTCAATTTAAGAGGCCATTTGGTTCTTCCCGAGGAGAATCGTAAGTTCTTGTCTTCAAATTGCTTTAATTTTGTGGTTTTTGCTGTTCATTTGTGATTTTTGATTATGTGTCTTTATATGTGTTGCGGTGATTTGAGGCAGGTCTAATCTCTTTTGTTGTCTGTATCAAGCAAATATTTTCATTTTCTTATTTGTTTTTAACTTTGAAATTGCTTAAATTTTTATAGGGTTTAGTTTTGAATTTGCTGGATTTAGTTGATGTTACATGCTTTTCTACAAAAAAACTGTGGGATTTAAATGGATTGGTATTCAAAATCACATCTACTATTGACCATTATCAGGCTGTGTTCTCCATCCCTCATCCTTTTATTTATTTATTTATATTTATAACTTGTGGATAATGTGTGTAATTGTAAATTTGGCAGACCTAGTAGGTTTTTGTTTCTTGCCTTTTAGGGTTGGGAAATATGGTATCAGTATGGCAGAAATGTTATCATCCGAAAACCAACCGGAGAAAACACAAAAGTTAACTGAAAATATAATTAATTGAAGTACCATTGTTGACTCTTTTGAGGAGGGAATGAGATGAAATCTTATTAGGAAAGGGGAATTAAAATCCAAAGATTCGGAAATCACGCAAGGCCTCTTAAATGAGATCAGAACAGGTGGGGTCATGTAAACTTTCTATTCGCGGCCTAAAAATATTCTTACGAGAAATGGTTTGCATATGCAATTTGAAACCAATCTTGGTTATTTGTGATACCATCTTATTAAACGCTAAACTATTAAATGTTCATTTATTCCCTCTTTATATTGAAGATATGGCCAACCACAAGCCCCGGGAGGAGGAAGTGAAGGAGCAGGAGTGGCAGGTGCAAGTGTAGTAGGGGTAGGGGTAGGGGTTGGGGTAGGTGGCGGCAGCAGTGCACAAAAACTCACAACGAATGATGCATTGACGTATTTGAAGGAGGTTAAAGACATGTTCCAAGACCAGAGAGAGAAATATGATATGTTTCTTGATGTGATGAAAGATTTTAAAGCTCAAAGGTATGTAAGTTTTTGTTGGAAGGATAAAATATCATGGGCATTGGGTGGCCATGTTCACATTAATTTTATCTAATCGAGAACTTATCTGATGCAGAATTGATACTACTGGTGTCATTGCAAGGGTGAAAGAATTGTTTAAAGGTCACAATAATCTAATTTTTGGGTTTAACACTTTCTTACCCAAGGGTTACGAAATTACTGTTATTGATGAGGACGAGACACCACCAAAGAGAACTGTGGAGTTTGAAGAGGCTATCAGCTTTGTGAACAAAATAAAGGTGGAGCTTCTCTTTCCTTATTTTGTGAAAGAAACAACAATAGTTTGAATTTTTGAATATAATTAACCTACCACTGTGCAGAAACGCTTTCAAAATGATGATCATGTTTACAAATCGTTTTTAGACATCTTGAACATGTATCGGAAGGAACACAAGGGTATCAATGAAGTCTATCATGAGGTGAACTTCTGTAAGCTTTTCTAACAATGTTTCATTGTATAAAGGGTTGTCTTTGGTTTCGTTGAACCTCTATGCATTACTTGGTCATTGTTTGTAACGTATGCAGGTTGCCACACTTTTTGATGATCAGCCAGATCTTCTTGATGAGTTCACAAGATTCTTGCCAGATGCTTCAGCGGCTGCATCTGCACATCATGCGTCATTTGGCCGGCATGCCTATCAACGTTATGATGAACGGAGCTCAGCTGCGGTCCCACTCAGACCGACACAAATGGATAAGGTAGTATGGCTAATCAATTTGCAACATTTTATATATTCTTCGTTTAATTTTTGGAGGGACTAATTTTCATATGCATTAGCAGCGAGGCCGGAGAGACAGGATCAATGCTCCACATGCTGAACGGGATCTGAGTGTTGATTGTCCTGATACGGATGATAAAACAATGATGAAACTTCACAAGGAGCAGAGGAAACGTGTTGAAAAGGAGGGCAGGGATAGGAGAAACAGTGACCAGGATTACAAAGATCCTGATCTTGATAGCAACAGGGACATCCATCGTCTTGAAAAACGAAAATCTGCACGTAAAGTTGAAGATTTCGGAGTGCACTCAGGTTCGGCCCCATGTGATGATAAAGATGCCCTCAAAAGTGAGTAGATGCTTTATAAGTCGGTGAAATCATAAATATGTGATTTATTTGTTTGGAATAGAAACCATCACCTTGCTCTTTTTTGGATATTGTTGTACGTAGATGATATTTCTGATTGACCCTGAACTTATCGATACTTCTTCTTTTTGAGTCTTAAGAATATGCAAATTGCTTTGAATCAAGTTTAGGTGTTGGGGGGGGGGGGGATTTATGCTGGCAAATTCACTTCTTTCTTCTTATAAACTTTGACCCTGTATTTGGTCATGTTTTCAAAATCTCTTGTTAACTTTCCAACGGTAGT